CCTGATCCCACCCAGCCTGCGACTCCTGCTGCCCCCCAGCCGGCCCCTCTTGCTGCCTCCCAGCCCGCAGCTCCTGCCGCCTCCAGGTCGGCCCCTCTTGCTGCCCTCCAGCCTGCAGCTCTTGCTGCCTTCCAGCCGGCAGCTGCTGCTGCCCCCCCATCTCCATCTCCGCCTCCAAAGCCTGCTGCCCCTTTGTCTGCGGCTCCTGCTCCTTCCCAACCTGCGGGTCCCATTCAACCCCAGCCTCCAGCTCCTGCTGCCTCCCAGCCTGCAGCTCCTGCTGCCCCCCATCCTGCAGCTTTTGCTGCCTTCCAATAGGCAGCTCCCATTGCCTCCCCATCTCCATCTCCAACTCCAACGTCTGCTCCCCCTCAGCCTGCAGGTCCCGCTCCCCCCCAGTCTGCGGGTCCTGCTCCCCCCCAGTCTGCGGGTCCTGCTCCCCCCCAACCTGCGGCTCCTGCTCCCCCCCAGCCTGCGGCTCCTGCTGCCCCCGGGCTTGCGGGCCTCGCCGCGCTCCTTCCCCTTGACCCCGCGGAACTCCTGATTTGCGCCTCCGTTCCTGTCTTCGGGCTAATCGGGGACCACATGTCGCTGAGTTGTCGCATTTAGTGAGTGCCGGGCGTGCTAAAGGGGTGTTAAGTTCTCGCCGACGCTTGTCATGCGACTCCTGTAGACGCTGGCGATGTGCCTCCCAAGCTGCCATCGCCGCGTCGGAGGTGTTGCCTTGCCTGTGCTCTCCATTGCCACTTTCGACCACTTCTCTAGTGGCCACGCCTAGGTCGGTATCGAGGCGTTGCCTCTTGGTCAGATTGTCGTGGAGGCACCTAGTGACTTTGTCGCACATGCCGCGGACGAGTGGTCCCTCCTGCTGCTCCGTAGGCTCTCTCCCCCTCTTGTGCCCGGCTATTGGGCAGGTCGCCTTTGAAGTCATCGTTGTCATTCCTTCCTCCGTGCTTCCGGTGGCCCATTTCGCCTTGCCGTCACGTCCTCCTCCCTCCCGGACCCCGGCATCCCCGGGGTCCGGGCTGTCTTCCATGGTTCCGCTGTGACGTCACGTGTCTCGATGTCGGGGCGTGGATCCCGCACCTGGGCAGCCGGTCTCAATGTGGGGGCGCTGATTTGCAGCGCCGGATCTGAGGCTCGTCCTAAACGGCGATTTCGCTGGCTGGCGCGCTGCAGAGCGTCCTAAGCGGCGATTTCGCTGGCTGGCGCGCTGCAGAGCGACCTAAGCGGCGATTTCGCTGGCTGGCGCGCTGCAGAGCGACCTAAGCGGCGATTTCGCTGGCTGGCGCGCTGCAGAGCGTCCTAGGCGGCGATTTCGCTGGCTGGCGCGCTGCAGAGCGTCCTAAGCGGCGATTTCGCTGGCTGGTAGAGTGATTTTGATCATCCTGTCCTGATGCGATTGCGGGACCTGCGCGCGGTGTCAGTGGCAGGCCACACGCGAGATACGAACCTCACGTGCGAAATAAATGACACTTGGAGAATTATAATTTAAAAACATAGGAATGTAAATCTCAGTCTACCACAAAAATGTTTGCTTCGAAATTCACCGAGAATGTGCCAACCTGGAAAAATCACTGCTATCACGTGCTGAAATGTTGATAACATGTGTGCGCCTCTGGCAATTTCGCCAGGTGGGCCAGGCAAGAAATCGTCAGCAATGATTGCTCCTGGCGCGTCAGTGGCGAACTCGTTAGTGGAGTAAAAATTCATTGGGTGCGCTTATATGAAGATGATCTAATTTAGGGTGGGCTTATAATCGGCAACCGGCTATAAGCACATAGGTACGATTATAACCGCATGGGTGTAACATAGGCCTGGGTGTATATCCGGGGTATGACGGTAGTCGGTTCTCAGTTAAACCCGACCGACGACCTTCACACGATCCACTGCGTGACATTGCCCCCTTATCGCCTTACCATGCTATCGCATCACATACCACATTACCATGTTACCATGTTATCACGTTACCTATGACGCCGTTCATGGGTGTGCGAATCTCATGTGATATCGTTGTAAGGAAGTCACCCATGGCTCGGCTGGCCTTCTCGGCCTCCAAGCGGGCCGCACGCAGCTCATGCTGGGCGGCAGCTAGGTGCTGACAGTCGCCCTCAAAGGCGTGCATGAGCTGGATGCACGTCCAGAGGAGGATGGTGGAGACGGTCAAGAACAGCAGCGCCACCACTATCCAGGTGAACGGGCCGAACGACTTGGCATATGAGATGTGCCTGCGGTGGGACGGGGGGTGCAGGGTGGAAGGAGGCGTGCATGAGCTGAATGCACGTCCAGAGGAGGAAGGTGGAAACAGTCAAGAAGATCAGCGCCACCACTATCCACGTGAACGGGCCAAACGACTTGGCATATGAGATGTGCCTGTGATGGAGGTTGAGGGACGGAATGGGGAGAGGAGGGTGGTGGGGACGGGATACGTGCAGGTGGGATGGAGGTTGATGGGATGGGGGGCGAAGTGGGGTAGGGGAGCTCGTGCTTTGGACGGATGAGGTGTTGGCGGTCGAAGTCAACTAGTGTGCATGAACGTGGATGAACATTCAGAAAAGGATGGTGGAGACAGCTAGAAACAGCACCGCCACCACTATTTACATTAATGTATGTATGTATGCATGTGAGTGTATATATCTCGTGGATACATGGATAAATGTCTCGTGTAGTGAATGCATAATGTTCATAGGCACGGTTAGGCATGTCTGCATGCATGCACACATCAACTCACTCGCAGAAAAGATAGAAGCTTCTCGTTGGATCACCAATGTGCACCGCCCGTCGCACTCTCCCCCCATCCTCCTGCCCCTTCCCATCCATCATCCACACTCCGATCTCCTCCTCACCCACCTCCCCCTCATGATCAAACAAAAGTGCGGGCAACCAATTTACAGCCTTCCCATCCTCATTCCGCGCACCATCCCACGCCCCGCCCCTCGTCCCATCCACGAGATAAACCCTCGCGTTCAGCTCCACCAGCTGCTGAAATCCCACAAGGGACCGCAGGTTTGCAAAGTTATACCCCGCGATGACAAACCCCCGTGGGAGGTCTTCAGGGGTGGCGAGCGGGGGAATGGCGACGGGGGTAGGGGAGGGCGAGGGGGGCAGGGCGAAGGTGGTGAGGTTGAAGTAGACTGGGAAGGCCTGGCCGATGAAATGGTAGGGGTAGTTGTCGCGGACAAAGGGCGGAGAGATGGCGGAGGATGCTGAGCTGATGACCCGGTGGAACGTGTCGTTAAAAGCTGGGTCTGAGAGGGGCGGGGGGAGGCAGTGGGATGCGGTGGGATGCGGTGGAATGCGGTGGGATGGGGTGGGGAGGCGGGGAAGGAGGATAAGTTGTGGGGGTGAAAGGACCAGCAGGGGAGTGGGGGAGATGCTTTGGTGCTATGGTTTGCGGCGAGTGCTGCGAGCGAGGATTATAAGAGGAAGAGGAAGAGAAAGGGCAAAGAAGTTGAGTGCACACAGAACTACAAGATGCCCTTCTATGGAGACGCAACATTTCATCGCGTCGCTAGCTCTTCTGCCAGCTCGGCCCTTTGATCGACTCACCAGCCATGACGTCCAGGCAGCAGACTGCTGAGAGGTTCACGCGTGTGGAGAACTCCTTGCGCGAGTTGAAGATGACCAGCGGTGAGTACAGCGGCAGGTCGCGCGGGCGGCAGGCGAGCGAGTCGCTGGGTGTGGGGGCGAAGATGCAGTGGTTGGCGTTTTTCTCCACTAAGTCGCGAATGAAGGTGTTGTTCACCAGGAGTGTAAAGCCCACGACTGACGGAGACACAAGGGGAATAGAGCGAGGAAGACAGGTGGGAACAGCACAGGAGAGCGCGCAGTTGGGCTCAGGGGATGAAGATGTAGTGGTGGGCGTTGGTTCCAAGAATGCCTCTGATCAGCTTCAGTAACTCACATGACGCCATGGGTCAGAGCACACCACACCACATGCAGCTCATGAAATGTAAAGGAGCGGTTCACTTGCAGCTAGCAGCAACTCACATGACGCCATGGGTCGTCCATCGAGAGTGGCCTGAGTGAAGCGCTGGAATTTCTCGACGTCAAGAAAGTCCTCTCTCATGCTGCTTGCCCCGGGGGAAAGGAGAGGGGAGGGGGGGTTGTGTCAGGGGAGGGGGAGAATGTGAAAGGAATATATTTTTGGGGGTTGACTTGATTCAATAGTTTAGAGTGGCTTGGGTGAACCGTCGAGAAAGTCCTCCCTCATGCTGCTTGCCCCAGGGGAAGGGAAGAGGAGGGGGGGAGGAGGGGGGTTGGAAGCGCGAGGAGGGATTCAGGAAAAAGGTAAGCTTGAGCTGGTGGTCGCCATGACGGTCAGACAAATGCCGTGCACAGGAGCAGCAATGCATGCACGCCCATGGTGGCACGCGGCCCTTACGTATCAAGGAAGTACGCACTTCCTGACTTGACTCAGATGTTGCCCACACTCATCGAGGTAATAGGTACGGATGAAGTCGGAAACAGAGCATGTGTTGGCGGCTCAAGAAATTTGCGGCACTGGGAAAAGCAAATAAAAAAGGTGGCTTTGGCCGTACTTATCGAGGTAGTAGGCGCGGATGAAGTCGGAAATGGAGCGTGTGTTGGCAGCCGTGATGTTGAACTTGGCTTCTATGAACGCCCCCCACTCATCGCAATGCGATTCCAGGTCGTCCCTCTCACTCGCCTCCGCATGCTTCCACGCTGTTGCAAACACCAGCGACAGGATGGCCGCTGCTAGCACCACCCACAGCCACAGCACTCGCTGTGAGGAGGGAAGGAGGGTGGGCGGAGGGGGGTGGTGGGGCCAGAACCAATGCAACAGCTGAGAACTGGGAGGGTTGCAGTTTCTTTTCTTGTTTGGTAATTATTCACACGCAACGCATGCACGGTGCACGAACCAGGACAGCACGCACCGCGTACGAACGAACCACGACAGCACGCACGGCGTACGAACCACGACAGCAGGCACGGCGTACGAACCATGACAGCAGGCACTGCGGCATTCACGTGCGTACCTTGCGCCACGGGTGGCTGAGTCGCCTGAGCGGCCACGACACGAACCACTCCACACTCGACACCCACGACTCCCGCCTATGGTGCTCTTCCGCCCCTTCCGCTCCTTCCGCGACCTCCGCGCCCTCCGCTCCTTCCGCGCCCTCCGCGCCCTCCGCGCCTTCCGCGAATCCTTGTTCCCCGAAGCCCTCTTCCGCCATCGATTCCGCCAGCATCGCCATCTCCGCTTCATTTTCCAATGCGCGGAACTCATACCCCCCATCGTCAAACCCATTCCCCTTTGGCCCCCTCGTCTCCTCCGCCTCCTCCGCCTCCTCCGCCTCCTCCGCGCCCTCCGCCAAACCAATATCATTCCTGTCGTCGCTCTCACTCTCCCTCGCGGCATTCCTCCCCTCTTCTCTCGCCTCCTCCTCCCCGTTTTCCCTCTCGTTTTCCTCGGCCGATGCGCATGACGCGTCATCGCCGTTGAAGCCAAAGCACGAAAACGCGGCACGCGCCCCGATTTGTGCGGGTACGCTAGCATTACGATGACACGATGACGTGGCACGAACGGACGAATCGCAATCTATTTCGCAATCTGCTGCCTGTGTCGCAGACCTCGAGTTATGGCATGGGGACGCGGCACGACCTGACGGATCATTCTCAGCCGCCGACGACGGCGGCATTAGCGCGGCCTTACTTGGAATCCCTAAACGCTGTCGTTTATGATGTGGCTTTAATCCGCCGAGGTTCAAGGACGGGTAACAACCTCCAGGGTTGTAAAGTACGGTCTCTTCTCGCCCCGTCAGTAACCCTTCGCAATCCTCCTCCATTTCTAAATCCCCGTTATGCGACGCCGCTCGATTGGGTTCATGAGCTAAGGTGTCGGAATCTGCTATTAGTGCTTCGTCTGGAGGAATGTCCGAGAAAGCCGAGCTATCTCCGCTTAACGTCCGGAATCCGCTCCGATGCCTTCCCACGCATGCCGGGATTCCAGTGCAATCCATGACGATGGAGTGGCAAGACACACGACTCGCAGTGCAGATGAGCACAGAACGGAGGCGATGAACCGTCAAGGCAACGTGAGTGCGACGCGGTCACGCAGCCCTGGCGAAACCAGGGTTAGGATTGCACAGGTGCCATGGCGATATTGGTCTTTGAAATACAGTACTGTATGAATCTCATCCTGGCGCTGGCCCTGCGTCGCCGCCTCGCCTCGGGCAAGCGAACCTTGAAGGGCCTTGACAGAAGGCGGTCTTACGGTGCAGTACGGCTTGTCACATTACGTCAATATTCGTCTGGAAACATCGGGGGTGAACTGTACTGTGTTTGCCCTCGGAGTTCAGTTTGGGATTCCAGGTTTCTCGCACCAGCGGGAACTAAATAGAAATTGTTGTAGGGTCTAAAGCGTTTGGGAAGATTCAAGATAGAATTATATCAGGTGACGCTAGGCGGAACTATATCAGGTGACACAAGCAAATTTGTTGCATTTTGTACTGTATTCGCGATGCCCGCCGATGAGTTGTGTACGTACGCACTGTACCGTAGAAACGCACAGCCGCAACCAGATTCACTTGAGTTGAGATTCGTCCAGGTCAACAGTTGAAACGAACAGTGGAACAAGACAACAAACGCCTTGAGATTGTAAGTTACGTACAGTTTCCGCCTACAGTTGGAAGGCTGAAAGCGAGCGCCAAACCATTCAATCCGACAGCGTACTGTACTGTACCACAGGGATGCACGCGCTCACAAACAAGACAACCGCGTCGGCAAGATGCCTTCGCAACGTACGAAACACTGTAACTACACTCATACTTAGAGTACTGTGGTGGATCAGCCAAAATGAAAGTATTGAAACATTGTATTAAGAACAATACATTTACAGATGTTTATGGGTTAGGAATTCATGGATTACCTGCATGGGGTTAGAACTTCATGGATTACCCGCATGCAGAATTTCATTTTCACGAGGCCTGGACAGGCATGTAGTGCATGAGCATGTCTGGGCGAGGAAGCGTCAGACGACGTTGGAGAGGTGGGCTCTAGAAAAGTATATGAAAGTGTGCATGAAGGATCAAGTGTTTGCGAGGCAGTGCCAGACGGAATGGGAAAGGGGGCCGTCATCGAGGGGTTTGGAGAGGTAGTCATCCATGCCGACAGCAAAGCATTGCTGGCGCGTGCCGGCAATCACATCCGCTGTGAGCGCAATGATGGCCACATGCCCCCCGCCCTCAGCCCTCTCCCGCGCCCGGATCCTCCGAGTCGCCTCCAGCCCATCCATGCCCGGCATCTGGGAAGTGGGGGTGGAGGGAGGTGGGGGAAGAGGTAAAGATTGCGACATGGTTCACAGAGATGTCAGCAGATTGCAGCGACGCAAGGGCGAGAAGTGCCAGGCATCTGCACATCTCTCTCTCTCTCGCCTCCTTGCCTCACCTGGAGATCCATGAGGACGAGGTCGTAGGGGTGGGGCGGGGCGAGGGCGTCTACGGCTTTCATGCCGCCATCGACCGGTGACTCGCGCGCCGTGCCTCTCCAGCAGCTTGCTGGCCACCTTGCGGTTCACCAAGTTGTCATCCACCACCATCACCCGCCGACCCAACAGCACCCCCAGCCTCTCCCCCACCGTCGCTGGCTCTTGAGCCGCTGCTGCTGCAGTCGCCGCCGCCGCTGCTGCTGGGGATGGTGATACTGCTTCTGGTGAGGCTGCTGGTGGGGATGCTACTGCTGACAGTGATGGTGTTGCTGCGTGGGTGACGATAGGAGAGAGTGTGGCAGCGGAGGAAGACGATGATGTGGGGGTGAGATCTGCAGGACGAGCATACGGAGGAGGGGTCCCTGATGAATCAAGCACACTCCCATACCCACGCACTCGATCAGCAGCACCAGCAGCACCAGCAGTAGCAGCAGCAGTAGTACCACCAGCACCACCGGCATCACCAACAGCAGCACAACGACCGTCGCTGCTTCTCCGTCGCTCGATCCCTCTCCCATGCACCCTCCCATCTGCTCTCCTTTCACCTGCTGACCCGTGCTTTGCTGCCCTCCTTTCGCCCTTGGACCCATGCATCTCTGCCCTTCGATCTGCTGCCCCAGCTGCTTCCACACCACTGCAGTGAGGGTGTTTTTGAGACGTCTCAAAAACACCAGCTGACCCGTGCTTTACTACCCTCCTTTCGCCCTTAGACCCATGCATCTCTGCCCTTCGTTCTGCCGCCCCAGCTGCTTCCACACCACTGCCGCTCCTTACCAGAGCTCGCACCCCCTGAGGTACGTAGTGCTGCCGACCCTGAGGCGAATCAGAAATCTTTTCCACAGCACTGCCACTCCTTACGAGCACTCGCCCACCCTGAACCACATGGTGCAGCAATCCATGAGGCACCTTGGGATGCTTTTCCTCAGCACTACTGCTCCTCACCAGGTCTAGCACCCCCTGAGGTACATAGTGCTGCCACCCTTGAGGCGAATCAGAGTTCTTTTCCACAGCACTGCCGCTCCTTACAAGTGCTCGCCCTCCCTGAACCACATAGTGCAGCAATCCATGAGGCGCTTTAGGATGTTCTTCCACAGCACTGCTGCTCCTCACCAGAGGTTGCAACCTCTGAGCTTGCACCCTCTTAGGCGCATTAGGATGTTCTTCCACAGCACTGCCGCTCCTCTTCAGGGGTTGCCCTCCCTGTACCACAAAATGCTGGTGATTCTGAAGCGCATCAGAGGGTGCTTCCTCAGCACTGCCATGCCTTTCCAGAGCTCTCCCTCTTAATGCGCTACTTCCACTCGCAGCAGCAGAGGCAGCAGATGCCGAATCGACTGAAGCAGCCCCTGTAGCACTGGCAGCAGATGTTGAATTGGACAACAGCAGCAGCAGCAGCAGCAGCAACACCGACAGCCGATATCAACTCTATTGAGGCACTGCTACCACCCACACCACCCAAACCATCAACAGCACCCCAATCCGTGCCATCACTGCACTTCTGCCATCCATGCAGCACCTCCTCCTCCTCTCTAGCCAATCCGTTGCCGCGGCCGCACATGCTTGGGGCTACCTGCTCTCTAGATGCACCATCAATGACACTCAGGGACAATGTAGCCAACTCTTGAGAGAGACGTCGATCGCCAGTAGCAGCAGCAGGAGCAGCAGGAGCAGCAGGAGCAGCAGGAGCAGCAGGAGCAGTGGCAGGAGCAGAAGCAGAAGCAGAAGCAGAAGAGGAAGCAAAAGGAAGAGAAGCAGCAGAAGCACCAGCGGCACCAGCCGCTCCAGAGGTAGGGTGTGAGATGCAGGGGCTGGTGCCGCTGGTGAGGGGGTGGGGTGCGAGATGCGTAGCTAAAGTGGCAGAGGGACCACCACTTGCACTGGGTGGCATGCTTGCAACGGGGCTTGCATGTTTGGACTTGGTAAAATTGCACGTGGGAGTGCTTGGGGTTTCGGGAATGGTGAGAGTATTAGCAGTGTTGGGAGTGTTGGGGACGATGTGAGTGTTATAAGTGGTTGGAGTGGTGGGAGTGGAGGGAGTGGAGGGAGTGGAGGGAGTGGTGGGAGTGGTGGGAGTGGTGGGAGTGGTGGGAGTGGTGGGAGTGGTGGGAGTGGTGGGAGTGGTGGTTGGGTGGGAGGGGAACAAAGGAAAAGATTCGAGTGAAGGTGGGAAATTGAGTGACTGGGGAAACTTGAGAGGGGACTTCAGTTCTCGGGGGGGCTTGAGTGCTCGTGGCGACTTCACAGCTCTCCAGAGGGCTGCTGCAGCGCTGCTGCCTGCCTTGTGGAGGGCCGATGGGCTCAGCACCACACCACCACCCCACTGCCCCTTCGCGTCCTGAGGGCTCACAACCTCCAATGCCGCACCAACCCACTGCCCCTTCGCCACATCCCCATTCCTGCCTCCTTCTCCTCCTCCTGCCTCTGCTGCTTCTGCTCCTCCTGCTCCTCCTCCTGCCTGCCCACACTCACCTTGCTCCTCCTCCGCGTCTGCACTGAACAGCGGTAGCAGCGCCGCCACCAGCGCAGGCTTTCGCAGGGGCTTTCTCACAACAGCATCGAAGCCAAGTGACAATAGCGAGGGGATGGACGGGGAGGGTAAGAGGGAGGGTGCCGGCGAGGGAGAGTGGCGAGCAGCAGTGGAGGAGGTCGGTGGAGAGGGAGAGAGGGACAGAGCAGGAGGCCTGCTCCTGCTCCTGCTCCTGCTCCTGCTCCTGCTTCTGCCCCTGTTGCTGCCTCGGCAGCCTCTCCTTCCATCATTACAGTGACCCGGCTCATGCTCACAGTGACCCACCTCTTCCCTTTCATCTACCCCTTCTGCTTGCCTTTCGCGGCTGCCACCCCTTCCCTCCCTCTCGCTGCTCAAACTCTCGTCCCTGCCCCCCTCCGAAGCAGGCCCACAGGAGAAGCTGTCCGCGTTATGAGCATCTCCCTTGTAAGGACTGAGACTGTCAGGTGCGCCGAGGCCTTTGCCTTTCGCAAGAGAGGAGGGAGGGAGAGGAGAAGAGCCGTGAAGAAGCACGAGGAAAGGAACAGGCCAAGTGCTGTTGCTCGCCCTGCAGGGACAACAACAAGGCCAACTGCACTTGCTGCTCTTGCTGCAGTTGCTATCAGCAGAAAGGCTGCTAGGCTGCTGCTCCTCCAGTGAGCCTACAGCTGCTACGCTGGTAGGCTTCTGAGCAGAACATTTGCTCTTGCTGCTCTTGTTGCTCTTGCTGCGACAGCCCTTCTCTCCTACACACTTACCCACTCCCTCCTTCCTCACTTTCTCCGCTTCCTCCCCAACAGTACTCACGTCCTCTCCTACCTGCCCTGACACGAGAGCATGGATCTGATCTGCTGAGACGTCCAGCCGCTGCATCATCTCCCCCTCCACCACCACCGCCCCCACCCATCCCCGTCTTTCTGCCTGGCGCAAACTCCTATAGTGCACCCGCTGCTGCGATCTTTCAGAAATCTTTGAAACTCGTTGCTGCCCCTGCACGGCTCCATCCCCCTCTGCTCCTTCCTCCTCTCCTTCTTCCTCCTCCTCCTCCTCCTCCTCCACCTTTTCTTTCTCCTCCTCCTCCCTCTCTTCCCCTTCCTCCGACTCTCTCTCTTCCTCCTGCTGCCAATGCCGCTGCCATTGCTGCAGCTGATGCCATTGCTGCTCCTCCTCCCCTTCCCATGCACTTCTCTCAGTAGAGGCGTGAACATCAATGGTGAGCGGCGGGCAGGGGCGGGGGTGGGCGATGGAGAGAGGGACGCAGGGAAGAGAAGCAGCGAGTGAGACAGCTGGGAAGGAGTACTGGCGGGAAAGGGGGGCAGCAGATGGAGGAGCAGTCACAAGAACAGCCGGCGAGCCAAACGGCTCAAGAGGAGGAGCTGACGGATCAAGAGTAGCGCCAAATGGGTCGAGAGAAGGAGCAAATGGCTCCGCAAAAAGGGATAGCTCCTCAAAGGGTTGACTGGCTGGCTCTGAGTGGCCTTCAGCGCACGTGTCGGCTGAAAGCAGAGGCACCATGGATTGATCATGGGTTGCTGAGCGTGTTGCGGGGGAAGCGGTTATGAGGGCTCCGATGGATCGTGGAAAGGTGGGTAGTGCTAGGCGTGACAGTGAGGTGTGAGACTTGACACGGCGGGGAGGAGGGAGAGCGGTCGGAGGAGACGGTTGGTGGGCTTTTTTATGCGCCTCAGAAGTAGTGGAGGAAGCGGCTAGAAGGGATCCAAAGGAGAGTTGTGAGGTGGGTAGTGCGAAGCATGCGAGGGCAGTTTGAGACTTCACGCGACGATGATGAGGGGGAGGGGTACGATGAGTTGGTTTGTGGGGTGCTGCTGCTGAAGCTGTGGGAGAGACGGTGCTTGGAGCATGAGAGGGGTGGTTGGTTGTGCGAGAAGGTGAGAGGAGGTGAGAGAGGTATGTTGCAGCAAGGGACGGTTCAGAGGTTAGCTCAGCCTTGTGTTGCTTCTCATCCTCCTGCTGCTCCCCCTGCTGCTTCTTGCGGTGCTTTTCCTCCTCCTGCTGCCCCCTCTGCTGCTCTTTATGCTGCTCCTCCTGCTGCTCTCTGGGTGCGTACATGGCATGACTCGATGACCCATGGTGCATGCCATGGCACGAGGCATGGGCCGTCGAATCAGATGAGTCATTGCGTATGGCATGGTATGTGCCTTGGCCCACAGCATGGTCCGAGCCGTGCTGCAAGGCATGGCATGAGCCATGGTGCACGGAGCGGTGTTGGGCGAGGAGGTGGGGGAGGAGGTGGAAGGAGGGGCAGGGGAGGGTGCAGAAGCCAAGGCGGCGCAGCAGAGAGAGAGTGACAGCATGCCGCACCGCCCGGTCGTCCACACTCACCACAACCACGCCCTCCCATTCCGATGCCTTTTGAGCCGACTCACAAGTCACCGCCCGCTCGTCCACACTCACCACAACCACGCCCTCCCATTCCGATGCCTTTTGAGCCGACTCACAAGTCACCGCCCGCTCGTCCACACTCACCACACACACACCGTCTAGCGCACCCGCTGCCCTCCCATCAGTCTCACCAGTCCCAGCATTTCCACTCAGTAAGCCATATCCTCCCTGCTGTTGCTGCGGCTGCTGCTGCGGTAGCTGCTGTGGTTGCTGCTGCGGCTGCTGCTGCAGTTGCTGGTGGTTCGTGGGTTCGGGAAGGGATTGGCATGACCTTTGAGGGGGGGGAGAAGGAGGAGGAGGTGAGGGAATGAAGGGAGTGGAAGACCGGATGGCAGGGGAATTGAGGGAGGGTCGAGAGTGGTGTTGAGGAGGAGTGTGAGGTTCAGGGAGAGGAGGAAGGGAGGGAGGAGGGTGAAGGAGAGGGGGTGTGTGGAGGAGGATATCGAAGAGGAAGGTGGTGCCGATGCCTGGCTTTGAGACGAAGGAGATGGATCCGCCCATCAGCGACACCAGGCGCTGCAGGGGTTGGGCGAGTGGGGACAGGCAAGGGATGTGAAGCGCAATGCATGTGTCTCAACGCACAGTACCTCGCAAGGCCAGTGTCTCGACGCAATATACTTTGTAACACAGCTGTCCCAACATAACAAACCTCGCACCAAAGCAACGCACCTTGCAAATGGAGAGGCCGATGCCAGTCCCCCCATGCAGCCGTGCCGTGCTGCGGTCTGCTTGCGCGTACGGCCGGAAGATGTGCCTCCGAGCGTGGCGGGGGATGCCAGTACCTGTGTCTTCCACGGCCACCATCAAGCGCACAGGCTGGTCCGCTCCCACGATGTCACAGCCACGGTCATTGCCATTCCCATCGCCTTCCCCATCGCCATGCCCATCGCCACACCCGTTGTCATGCCCATCGTCACACCCATCGCCATATCCCTCGCCATGGCCGCAATCACCACTCCCATCGCCATGTCCGATATAGCTCGCCTTGCCCATGCCCTTGCCCATGCCCACGGCAGCAAGGTCCATGTGCTCCCGCATGCCCTCCCAGGAGCACCACGACTTCATGGCAGGCCGGCCACTCAGCGTCATACATGCGGCTTGTGCCTGCTGGTGCTTGCTGGCAGATGCCTTGGAGTGAGATGATGAGGATGCTACCGGTAGGGGTGATGGTGAGGGTGATGCTGATGGTGATGGTGATGCTGAGGAAGTGGAGGAGGAAGGAGAGGGCAGCGGCGGGGGAGCGGGGCAGCAGCTGGTGTCAGAGTCGGTGGTGGTTGCGAGGCGAACGGCGATGAAGACGTGGCCCTTGGTGGTGAACTTGAATGCGTTGCTTATGAGGTTGATGAGGATCTGTGGTGCAGGAGATGAGAAAGTTACAAAGACACACACACACACACACACACACACACTCACACACACACACACACACGCACGCACGCACACACACACACACACGCGCACACGCACCAGACTCACAAAAACGCACAGACACATGCACACAATCAACCGCGCGCGCGCACACACACACACACACACACACACAAACACACACACACACACACACACACACACACACACACACACACACACACACACACAAACACATTCACACACACACACACATGCATGGAGCATGGGCAGTGGACGTGAACTTGAAGGCATTGCATATGAGGATGATGAGGATCGGTGACAGAGAGGAAGAGATGAAACATGTGCACATGTGTGAGAAAGGGAAGGAACAGAGAGTGTGATGAACAAAGTGTTAGAAGGAAGTGCTGCCGTGAGCAAGAAATTGCCAACGCTGATATTTGAAACGATGACCTTCAATCCGTCCTGAAAGTTTCTCAGGACAGATTTGTGACAGTTACTGGGCGCTACTTGTGGGCACACAAAATTCGAACTGAAGACCTTTCGATCCACGTGTCACAATAGAGTCATTTCAAGACAGTTTGAGGACAGTTTGGCGAGACCGGTCAAAGGTTGCGTTGGGATTGAAACTCGGCAGCGAAGTGTTGAAGTCAACGAATTTCGCACGGGAGTTACATTTTGAGGGTCGACAGAATTCTAGCCGCAGAAATTTTCGTCTACTGGATTCCAGTCACTGGAATTCAAGGCTCAGAATTTCACGTCGACGAGATTGAACTGCGGAAATCCGCGTGCAACTCAGGTCGACACTTATTCTTGTGATGTTTTGTGTGCGTTCTAGGAGTATATAAAACCAGAAAGCACAAATTGGAAATCAACAGTCATTACCACTTCTATGCTTGTGTGTATCTTTGGCTATAGTTGATCGTTTCCTACAATCTTTGGTTCATCGGAATCGTGCTTCCGAGCTCTATCGAGCTGTAATTATAGCGAAATTCTACACTATGGAATCCACCCCAAACGGCTCTGCAAGAGGCCAAGTCCATTCCATGCACCTAACCCTACCACGAACGGTGTACCTGACTCTGCGATGCACTTGATCCTGCCATGCACTTGACCCTACCATGCACTTGACCCTGCCATGCACCTGAACCTACCATGCACTTGACCCTACCAAGAACCCATCCAACACCCTATAAGCACCTGCCCCTTCTCTTCTCAGCACTAGCTTCAACCGAAGCGATCCCCTACGAGCGTCTCGGCCATGTCGTCTGCAACAAATGCGGCGAGTGCCCCGCGAGGAGCTAATCCTCGATGCCCCCGACAAAGAGTGCGAGCACAACGCGTCATCCAGCTCGCTGTGCAGTAAGAGGGAAATTTGAAGCGGGTCTTGTGCCTCTTCTAAGCACACCTACCCTTTTTAAGCTCCTGCACTTTCTAAGCACCTGCCCTTCAACACACCTGCTTCACTCGGAGCGGGTCCCCAACAAGCATCTCCGGCACATCGTCGGCGACAAACGCGGCGAGCTCCACGCAGCGCTTCTCCTGGGCGTTCTCGACAAAGAGCGCGAGGACGTCGTCGAGCTCGGCGCGCAGGTTGAGGGGGATGCGCTCGAGGCGGAGCTTCTCGGCCTCGATCTTGGAGAGGTCGAGAATATCGTTGATCAGTGTACACAGCGCCCTCCCGCTGCTGCACGCCGTCTCCGCATAGTCCTTCTGCGACCTGTCTAGAGGGGTCTCCATGAGCAGATTCAGCATGCCTGGTGAGAAGGAGGAGGATGGAAGGAAAGGGAGAGAGAGGGGGGGAAAAGCGACAATAGTCAGCTTGCCTAATGAGGTTTTTGAAAGCAAATTGTTGTGCGTAAAAGCAATACGCCTAACATCTGGTTGTAACAGTACGCAAATGCGTTTGTTCGTTTGGTTGTTTGCTTTCGTTGTTTCCGCTTTACGCATTTGCAGGTATTTACGTAATGTGCACTTTGGCGTAACATTGTACACGCTATGAACAGTGTGAGAAAACATGAACAGAAAACGAGAGCTTATAAGATCCAAGGTGGAAATCCAAGGTTGTTAACTGCGTGTTTACACTTACATCTAGTTTGAAATCGTAATGTTTTTTTTTGCTATCTAGAGTATACCAGAGCATGCACAATAAGGGGTACAATGATACGAAGTAGACATGTGCAACTAGGCGAGCCGAAGTAGCCTCGTCTTGGTTAGGACTCGGCCAATTAATGCCCCGAGCCGAGCAAAACTCGGTCAAGCTTTTCAATTGGAGGCGGTACAAAAAGCTCGCCTCAGTGCCCATGTCTACTTGTCGATACTCTCATGTGATTTCACGAATGACATTATCTCCTTATCCAGAAAGCAGCGATCGTTACCACGATACCACATTATTGTATGACATCCTTACCACGTAATTCCATTACCATGTTGCCATGTTACCACATACCTATGACGCCGTTCATGGGTGTGCGGATCTCATGCGACATCGTCGTGAGAAACGCGCCCTTGGCTCGACTCGCCGCCTCGGCCACCAAGCGGGCGGCACGTAGCTTATGTTGGGCGGCAACTAGCTGTTGACAGTCGCACTCAAAGGCGTGCATCAACTGGATGCACGTCCAAAGGAAGATGGTGGAGACGCCGAGGAAGAGAACGGCCACGATGATCCAGATGAATGGGCCGAACTGCTTGGTGTACGAGATGTGCCTGTGGTGGGATGGAGGGCGAGAGGTGGGAGGGTGCGGAAGGGAGGGAGGGAGGGAGGGGGAGATGCGAGGGAGGGGGAGGTGCGGGAGAAGGGGATTCAGGTGACATGCAGCTCGGTATGAAGTACGATGGGAGGGACACGTGCACATCGGCATGCATACGTTCCATGCGCATCAGCGTTCATGGATGTTACGTGTATGTGAGTATACATGTCGTCACTTGGATACATGGACGCACGGATGATGCAGGTACGTCTAATGCGTGAATGCCTCTTTCTACATGCCTACACATGTGCATGTATCTATGCACATCCGCATGCATAGGTCAACTCACTCGCAGAAAAGATAGAACCTTCTCGTCGGATCACCAATGTGCAGCATCCGCAGCACTCTCCCCCCTTCCTCCTGCCCATCCTCGTCCATCATCCACGCTCCAATCTCCTCCTCTCCCACCACCCCCTCATGGTCAAACAGCAGAGCAGGCAACCACCTGCCATCTCGCCCATCCCCATTCATCCGATCCCCATTATGCACACTCTCGTCCTGTGCACCATCCCACGCCCCGCCCCTCGTACCATCCACCACATAAACCCTCGCCCCCAGCTCCACAAGCTGCTGAAACCCCGCAAGCGATCGCAGGTTTGCAAAGTTATACCCCGCGATGACAAACCCCCGTGGGAGGTCCAAAGGGGTGGCGAGCGGGGGAATGGCGAAGGCGGGAGGGGAGGGCGAGGGGGGCAGGGCGAAGGTGGTGAGGTTGGAGTAGACTGGGAAGGCATCTCCAATGAAGTGGTAGGGGTAGTCGCCGCGCATGAAGGGCGGAGACATGGCGGAGGACGCTGAGTTGATGGCCCGGTGGAAAGTGTCGTTAAAAGCTGGGTCTGAGAGGGGCAATGGGAGGCGGTGGGATGCGGTGGGATGCTCAATCTGTTATTTTTTTCCAAAAAAAAAACTTAAGGACTGCTCGCTTCGTTTCTTGTTACATAGTACAAGCGCACGCACGCTGCTGGCCTGACCTTTCCAATCACCTGCCATGAGGTCGATGCAGCAGACTGCGGAGAGGTTCACGCGCGCACTGTACTCCTTGCGAGCGTTGAAGATGAGCAGCGAAGCGTACAGGGGCAGGTCACGCGGGCGGCACGAGAGCGTGCCGTCGGGCTCCGGGGCGAAGATGCAGTGGTTGGCGTTCCTCTCCACTGTGTCCCGAACGAGCGAGCTGTTGATGAGCAGAACGAAGCCCACGACTGAAGGGGGCACAAGGCAGGGGGCAACGGGGGGGGGGGGGGGGGGGGGGGTGTACACAGGGGGGAAGAGCACAGGTGAGCGTGTCGTCTGGCTCGGGGGCGAAGATGCAGTGGTTGGCGTTCCTCTCCACTGTGTCCCGAACGAGCGAGCTGTTGATGAGCAAAACGAAGCCCACTACTACGTGTTGCGAAAGACGCGTCCTGCGTCCTGGACGCATGCGTCCAGACGCAGGACGCAGCACCAGGACCAGAAAGACGCACCAAAAGACGCAAGCCCGGGCAGGGCAAGAAAACCCCCCGGGCAGGCAAAAAAAATTGTTATAGGCCCTGGATGAGCACGGGGGCGGGTCGGGCTGTTCTGGCCCGCCTATTTCCGCTGCGACAATTTGCTTCGTCAGCTCTACTTATAAGCTAGTCGAGAAAACCCTAAGGGCGTGTAAAATCGCTGCACCTAAAAATTCGGCCACAAGCCGAATGGCCGAATTGGCGAAAGTAACCCGTTTGCGAGTTTCACGAAGACGCTCGCGACCATCGTGAATTTCGCGAATAAAAAACGAAATTGATGGCCGTTTTGAAAGTCGACTCGCCATGTCGACTCCAATTCGGCCAAGTAGTCGACTCCGTGAGCGACTGTCACGTGCGACGTCGCACAGTCTCGCAGAACGACAGATTATTTTCTCTTGTCGAATCAGAGACTTCGCCGTCATATGTGCGACCCCGTCGCACAAACGTTCCTACTGTAGCACTTGCAAATTTTACAAGTTTTCTGGAGTCGGCCAGCAATTCGGCCTGCAAACTGGTCAACTCTAATTCGGCCATCAGGTCGACATGTGCGAAAGAAGTGTCGACCATTTGGTAGACAAAAACCCGGCCAAACCCCATTTTTTAAAATGCACGCCGATTTTACACGCCCTAAAAGCTGATTACGCTGTCAACTATATCTCAGGCCAACAAATGCGGCCAGATCTGGTCGACCTGGGATGGGAATTGATAGACTGGTTGGAAATTCTAGATTCAGTGCGGTGAAATGCGGTTTTTGTACTAATTTGAGTCAATTTCGTCAGATCTCATTCTTGCGGGGATTTGACCCCCCCGACAAATGTCGCGGGGGTCAAATTTGAGCTGCGCGACATTTTGTGCAAGCTCTAGCGCAAGCTCAGCTTCTCATCATGCCATATCTCACCTAGCTCGTTCTCAAACTTAGGTTTTAGTATTAGTTATCCGATTCAAAGTAACGGTTATCTTAAAGGGTGACGAAATAGTGCGCTTGAGCTAAGGGGGGGTCGAAATTTCGCGATTTCGACAGTCGCGTCGAAATCGCGAATGTGAATTTCGCGATCGGGGAATTTTTTTTTCGGGGCAGCCCGAAAAAAAATCGATGTGTGTCCTGTGTCTCGACGCGCGTCCTGCGTCCGAGCGTCCAGACGCTGCGTCCAAACGCAGGACGCAGCGTCCTGGGTGCGTCTTTCGCATCATAGCTACAGGGGACGTAGGGGGGCAATGGGGGCGACACAGGGGGGGAACGGGGGGGAAAACAGGGGGGAAACAAGGAGGAACCCAGTGGGGAAATGCGAGGAACACAGGGGGAAACAGCACAGGAGAGCGTGCTGTTAGGTTCGGGGGTGAAGATGCACCGTGGAACTGACATTTTGACATCAAAATGCAAGACAAATGATGTCATCGGTTAGACCGCATGTGCCTCACATTACGCCATGGGTCAGAGCGCATGTGGATCACATGATGCCATGCGTCAGAGCGCATGGGACTCACATGATGCCATGCGTCAGAGCGCATGGGACTCACATGATGCCATGCGTCAGAGCGCATGTGGATCACATGATGCCATGCGTCAGAGCGCATGGGACTCACATGATGCCATGCGTCAGAGCGCATGGGACTCACATGATGCCATGCGTCAGAGCGCATGGGACTCACATGATGCCATGCGTCAGAGCGCATGGGACTCTCATGATGCCATGCGTCAGAGCGCATGGGACTCACGTGATGCCATGCGTCAGAGCGCATGAGACTCACATGATGCCATGCGTCAGAGCGCATGGGACTCACGTGATGCCATGGAACATATCCCATGCAACTCACATGACGCCATGGGTCGGCTGTCAAGAGTGGCCTGGGTGAAGCGTTGGAATTTGGGCACGTCAAGTAAGTCCTCCCCCATGCTGCTCGCCCGAGGAGAACAGGGTGGGAAGGAAGGGGAGAGAGGGGGGGTGTGGGGTTGAAAATGTGAAATGAATATTTCTCTTGGGTCGGCTCAACCGTCGAGAGTGGCCTGAGTGAAGCGCTGGAATTTGGCCACGTCAGGTAAGTCCTCCCCCATGCTGCTTGCCCAAAGAGGGAGGGGGAGAGGGAGGGGGGTCGTTCCAGTTCCAGACAGGTGATCAGCTTTGGAGGCACCTCAAAAGGGGTGGAAATAAGAGACGACTTTTGAGGGACCTCATGAGATGACGGAGTCAGTTACAGTGCTGGAGTAGGTGTGTGTGTGTGACGCCAGTTGACTATGAAAAAATCCCAAGAACCAACTAGGGAGGAGTGCTAGAGTGGGCGTGCTATGCTATGAGCATAAAGGAGGAGATTCCTAGCAGTGGACTGTGGAGGAGTGAAGCAAGCACATGGAGAGGAGGCAAAGCGAAGCAAAGCAAGCACACGGAGAATAGTCGAAGCGAAACAGAGCAAAGCAGGCACACGACTCCCGTAGTACGCGCGGATCCCCAGCACTGGAGAATCGAAGCAAGCCTTTCGGCTGGCCGTACTTATCGAGGTAGTAGGCCCGGATGAAATCGGAAATAGAGCGTGTGTTGGCAGCCGTGATGTTGAACTTGGCTTCAATGAACGCCGCCCACTCGTCGCAGTGACTCTCCAGGTCGTCCCTCTCAGTCGCCTCCGCATGCTGCCATGCCGTCGCGAATACCAGCGACAGGATAGCCGCGGCCACCAGCACCCACACCCACAGCAGCCGCTGGAAGTGGGGAAGGAGGGTGGGGAAGGCGGATGGGGCGTGAGGACAGGGAGGAAGCTGAGAAGAAGGTCACTCTGCGTGTCTTCCCACGCGTGTCTTCCCACTCATCCCTCTCAGATTGCTTCCACGCTGCCGCAAACACCAGCGACAGGATGGCCGCGCCACCCACACCCACAGCAGACGCTGGGCTGGGGGGGAAGGGAGGAGGGGCGTGAGCGGAAGGGGGTAGCAGAGAAGCACGTGTCTATGCGTGTCGTCCCTCTCATTCACCTCTGCATGCTTCCACGCCGTTGCACACACCAGCGACAGGATAGATGGCCGCAGCCACACTGCGCACGGCGTACGGATAAGGGGATTACGCACGGCTTTTGAGTCGACTCAAAAGTCAACACTGCGCACGGCGTACGGATAAGGGGATTACGCACGGCTTTTGAGTCGACTCAAAAGTCAACACTGCGCACGGCGTACGGATAAGGGGATTACGCATGGCTTTTGAGTCGACTCAAAAGTCAACACTGCGCACGGCGTACGGATAAGGGGATTACGCATGGCGCACTGTATAAAACACAGCGCAGGGCTTATGAATCAGAACATTACACACGGGATCAAAGCAGTACGTATGCAGAGCGTACAAATCAGAATATCACGCACGGTGCAGGGATCAGAACGCTACGCACGGCAACGGTTCGGCCAGCACACACACAGCAGACACGTACTATCCACGGCATACCCTTTGCCGCGGATGGTTGGGTCAAATCAAAACTCAACGGCTCGGCCAACACACACGCGCACGCATGCCCGCACACACACACGCGCACGCACGCACGCACGCACGCACGCACGCACGCACGCACGCACGCACGCACACACACACACACGCATGCGCGCACGCACACAAACGGACCCACACACACGCACGCACGCTTGCACGCACGCACACGCGCACGCGCACGCACACGAACACTATAACACCTCGCTACCCACTGGGTCAAAACGAGGGTTATATTTGAGGCGCAGCGGAGGCTCTCAACATATAAGCCCCACAGGCGTTACACTCGTCCAAACCTGGAGCCCACGTCCTCGTTGGGCAGGGAGTCAGCCCTCGCAAGGACCTCAAATTCGCTGTGCACAGTCAGCGACTTCGCTGGTGGGCCGAGCCCAGCGGCGGATCAGTCACTGGGTTACCACATTCAACATCTCGCTCCCCTAGCGGAAAATGTGACCCAGCCAGGAATAGAACCCCAGGCTCTGAGACCAATATAACCTCGCTACCCACTAGGTCAAAACGAGAGTTATGTTTGAGGCGCAGCGGAACTCAACGCTTACGCACAGGCGTTACACACATGCACAGACATAGGCATAGGCACGCGCGCGCGCACGCACGCAAGCACAGGACGCATAGCACGCGCGTACAATTCACGGCGTACCCTGCGCCACGGATCGCTGAGTCGCCTGAGCGGCCACGACACGAACCACTCCACACTCGACACCCACGACTCCCCCCGTTGGTGCCCTTCCGCCGCTTCCGCGATCCCCTTTTCCGCCATCCCCTCTTCCGCCATCCCCTCTTCCGCGCCCCTCTCTTCTGCTGCCGATTCCGCCAGCATAGCCATTTCCGCCTCGTATTCCCATCCGCGGGAGTCATACCCGCCGTCGTCAGACGCATTCCCCTGCGCCCTCTCCGCCCTCCCCGCCCCCTCCGCCCACTCCGCCTCCTCCGCCGTCTCCGCCTCCTCCGCCCCCTCCGTCCCCTCCGCCGACTCCGCCTCCCTCGTCCCCTCCGCCGAATCGAAATCACTCCTATCGTCTCTCTCACTCTCACTCGCTCCTTCCCTCCCCTCTGCTCTCGCCTCGTCGTTCTCCCTGTCGCTCTCCCCGGCCGATGCGCATGATGCGCCATTGACATTGACGCCGAAGCACGATAAGGCGGCGGATTTCTTAGTCGACTCAAAAATCTCCCTGCTGCTCTCCCCAGCCGATGCGCATAATGCGCCATTGTCATTGCCGCTGAAGCACGTCAAAGCGCGTGTGCTTTGTTCACGAATCTCTAAAGGTCGCCGGCGTTTTTGCTGTAGGCTCAGAGACGGGTAACAACCCCCCAGATTGTAGTGTACTATCTCGTCTCGCCCCGTCAGTAAGCCTTCGCAATCCTCCTCCACTTCTAAACCCCCGTTTGACGACGCCGCCCGTTTGAAGCGAGTCGCTTCGTAAGCTACGATGTCGTAATCTGTCATTGATGTATTGTTCGGCGAGCTGTCCGAACAGAGCCGAACAGAGTTGGAGAGAACAGAGCTGTTGCCGCTTAGCGTTTGGAACCTGTTTCGATGCCTTTTCAAGAGAGCTGGTTTTCTGGTGCGATCCATAATGCAGTACTACGGCACACGAGAGTGACACGACATGCAAACGCCTAAAATCAGATGAGCACTGACTGGCACTTGTAAGCATACTGGCGCTAAATGTCAGGCGAGGAGGGACGGCCAGCCTTAGGCTGATGACGTGACACGCAGACCTGGCTCGAAGTTGAGGGGGGGAACCCTGATAGAAGGTGGGCTCGGGGATAGTTTGGCGCGGTTGACCACGTTTGAGAGCGGTGCCGACTGTCACCGCTTTAGACCATTGCGCACCAGAATGAACCTTTATACGACCCAGCATTACGAAATACTGTATTCCTCAAGGTTGCATTACGAAAAACTGAATTCCTCAAGGTTGTTTTCCATTCGTCGGAAACTCGTGAATCGTGATTCGTTAGACTGTTTTTGGTCCCCGATTCCAGAAAGGGGTTGGCCATTCACGACACTCTCACACCACCGCCATTTGATCACAGGGCAAAAGTTTTTGTCGAAAAGTAGCCAATGGATGGGGCGCTTTTTATGTGTTTGGAAAGCCCTGCTGTTCAGCACGGAATTCACAAAATACATTACACATTACATTCAGCCGTGTACGATAATTAGTTTTGAGGGGTCCATCCAATGCGGCTTTCGAGGGTCAAGCAGAAGATATTGTTAGGGCGACGTCAGGCTGCACAGCATTTTGCAACTTTTGTACGCCCGGTGCGGTTAACTTCGTTTCAGCACGGTGCAGAGCGTTAAACGTCGAGAACCGTTTTTCACCGTGTTTGACCGTCTTGAACCACGATACAGGAACTGTAAGCACCTGTGAAATGTACTGTATAACCTGACGTCGCCCTTATTTCAACAAGTACTGTACACGGGGCGACCTGTGTACTGACAATAAAAAACAAAGAGCAAACCCAGAGTCGTAACTGCTTGGTGGGCACCTGGTTTTGGGAACAGTTGAAAGATCACTACACGACGATAGATTGCGCGCCAGATTCCAGAAGCCGCTTGCCTACAGTTTAGGGAAGATCGTTTCGGACCATTCAATTTGACAACGCACCACGGGGATACAGTGCACGCGACATGACAGCAGGGCACGGCACGGCACATAGCCTCAGCAAAGCAGCTGAAATGTGAAACAGACAAAAGTCAACCAAACAAACACAAGCGCCTCGGCTCATGAATTCACCATAACGAGGTGTTGTGGACTATTAACAGAACAGTACAATACCTAGTGTAGTGTAGTCATAGTGGCTTTGCTCTTGAAGTGTGGAGTGGAACCTGGATCGCTAAGTTGAAAGGCCAACTGCACAAAGCATGGTAAATTGACTTGGGTGTTTCTTGTTCGGCCACATGAAAGGGAATTAGCGGTATAATACTCATCATACGATTTGTAAGGCTTGTGCACTTATCAAGTTTGACCTTGTCAATAGCTGACTGAATCCATGCGATGCTTTAGTTTAGACTCTTGAATCATCACAACCGGTATAGTTTACATATGATACATTAGTTGGTCCGATAAAAATCCCAGCTGGCCTGAACAAGCACTTCGATGTAACAGCCTTTCCACGTTGATCGGACCTTTCCTTTTTGGGTCTTACTCAGTACCCTGGTTGATTGATCATTCTCCTTGTCAAAGGTCAACCTTGACTTATTCTCGTCACACTAACTGGTTACATAGCTTACCCTAAAGCCAATCTGGAACCATGAGCAGTGTGTCATAACTGTTTAAGCTTGTTGGTGGTCGTCCCCCTTGACGACATCGGGTACGGTACAAAGTTTTGTCTTCATTGGGTTGCATTTGATGCGGAGTACCAAAAAATAAGTTAATAGTACGGTGTAGCAGAGTGGTGCAATAAGCAGACAGACGTCTTGTTGGAGTGTGCACATGTACCCTAATTAGACTGACTGCTGGAAATTGCTCACCATCAGTGCCCTAGATATCAGACTTTTTCACTAATCCAGCGTCCATTCAGACATTTTTTTTGTACCAGGTCTGAACTGTAAGAGTTTTTTTATGTACCTTCTTTGATTTTTCAGAGTATTTTTTTATGTAGTGGCTGAAATTTCAGACACATTGTAGGGGTGTAGGCTGAGCCTCAGCCTTGTCTCGCGGGTGCTCTCTGAAACGGGTACTGCAGGGGTCCGCCAGCCTGGCGGCGTGTTTCCACTAACACCGTCAATCACGGGCGAGAAACGAAAATTCTCCCGAGCGCAGCACCGCACCGCACAGTCGCGTTGTGCCAGGAATGCTGTAATCTGGCTCAATTCCAGCCAATCGCGGCTGCGCAGCAGGCAGTGTTGGCAAGATTCCTTGCCACCGCATAGCTCGCACCGCGCTGCACCCGGACAACACCAAAAACATCCACCCCCCTCCACCGTGCACATTGCCACCGCATAGCTCGCAGCGCGCTGCAGCCCTCACGTCACCACATCCATGCACCCCACTCACCCCACCTTCCCAGCACCCACGACCAGGTACCGTGCATGCAGTGACCAGCAGGGAGATGATCGGTCCAAATACGAGGACCAGTCGTCTTCCTCCTCGTCGCCCTTCATGGGGGTCACTCCGTGCCCTGTCTCTCTCGCTTCATTCAATTTCTTCGCCATATACTAGTGCTGGAACCCTTGTTTTAGACTCTCCCTTGCACTCGCAAAACCTGTGCTCGACAGACTCATGGCAGCCACAGACGCTGCCGCCGAGTCGGCCGACGATGATGACGAGCCAGAGCAACGGCCTGCTCCAGACGCTTTGACCGGCCTGGACTTTCTTAGGTCATGCTTACCGACGCATGTCCCACCGACTACTCCACCTTCGCAACCTAGATCTAGCCGTCCTCCAGTTCCCGTGCAACCTGAACCAGTGCACACGGCCGTCACTGAACCAGTCGAAGCTGCGGCACAGTCTGTGCCCAATGGTGTGTTAGAATTAGTAGGCAGGAACAGAAATGATGAAAGGAGGGTTTGCACTAGCAGCAGTTGGCATACATATAGGAAACCCTGATTGGGTTGTACTCGCTATAGAGTACCCCACTGCAGGCTAGACAATAATAACATTCTGACACACCCCCATAGCCAAAGTGGGGTGTAATCAGCACAATGAGCAGGCATAGCAATAGTTCACAATTATAAGCAAAGCTAGAGGCTATCATAGAGGGCAAGTGAGGAGGAGGAGGTGTCAGAGGTCCACTGGTGATCCCCGATGATCCTAGGGAAGGGTTACAGGCACGTTGGCCTGGGGGGTTATGGGCGCACTCACTCGCTACACAAACAAGCCCTTTTATCCCAGTGGTTAGTGGCTGGGATTCTGACATGGTATCAGAGCGAAGGTCTCGGGTTCGAATCCCGGTGTGTGCACCTCGGGCATCCCAGTGCGGGGGGGTGTCAGAGGTCCACTGGTGATCCCCGATGATCCTAGGGAAGGGTTACAGGCACGTTGGCCTGGGGGGTTATGGGCGCACTCACTCGCTACACAAACAAGCCCTTTTATCCCAGTGGTTAGTGGCTGGGATTCTGACAGGAGGGACTGTGAGGGGAGACAAGATTGGAGACGACGACTGAAGCTGCAAACACACGGGCAACAGGAGCGCGCACACAGTGGCTACCGGGACAGCGCCCCGGACTACTGGAGTAACTGGCTCGGCGGCTACGAGGAGCGGCAAGAGCAACGGACCCACGGGCGACAGGCACAGCAGGCTCTCTGGGCTACCAAGAGCACGACGGCTCCGTACTACTGGCGCTGCAGGCGACACGACGGCGGCCTCCACGCAACCTCCCCCGACCGTCCCACGCCCCTCTCACACACCCCCTGCTGAAACCCTAGCTCCACTCCCACGGCACCCCCCTTAAACCCTAAACCCTCGGCTCCCACACACCCACCCCCCTCAGCGGCAGCTGCAGCAGTGGGAGACGGAGGAGGAGGAGGAGCTGCAGGTTACCCACACCGGTCACCCCCATGCCCGCCACCCCCAAACCCTAACGCAGGCAGGAGCGCGGGAAGCAGCAGGGGCGGTTCACGGAGGGAAAGGGAGGCGGCGGGGGGGTCTCCAGGGCGCCACGAAGAAGCAGGGCGCGGGCCCCCCGAGGGCGCCACGGCGGGTGACGGGAGGGGGGCCGCGCACGGGCCCCCGAGGGCGGCTCGACGGGCGACGGGAGGGGCCGCGCGCGGGCCCCCAAGGCGCCGCGACGAGGCGACGGGAGGGGGCGGCGCGCGGGCCCCCAAGGCGCCGCGACGAGGCGACGGGAGGGGGCGGCGCGCGGGCCCCCAAGGTGCCGCGACGAGGCGACGGGAGGGGGGGACGCGCAGACCCCCAAGGCGCCGCGACGAGGCGACGGGAGGGGCCGGCGCGCGGGCCCCCAGGGCGCCGCGACGAGGCGACGGGAGGGGGCGACGCGCGGGCCCCCAGGGCGCCGCGACGGGCGACGGGGGGCAGCGCGCAGGTCCCCGGGGGCGCCACGACGGGCAGAAAACCGCCGCACGCCCCGAGCGCACGGCGGGATGAAAAACGCCGCGCGCTCCGAGTGCGCGGCAGGAAGAAAGGGTCGCGCGCCCGGAGCGCGCGACAGCAGTAGAGCAGCGGAAGCATCGGGTGGGGCCCACCCACAGGATCGACCCAGGAGGGTCGACCTGCTCTGATAGCATGTCAGAATTAGTAGGCAGGAACAGAAATGATGAAAGGAGGGTTTGCACTAGCAGCAGTTGGCATACATTTAGGAAACCCTGATTGGGTTGTTTTCGCTATAGAGTACCCCACTGCAGGCTAGACAATAATAACATTCTGACATGGTGCGTCCGCAGAAGCACCGTCACGTCCCGCACCACTGACGAAGATGCGGTACCGTCAGACCACGTTTCCGTGGGTAACTCCTCCTCCTCCATCGACCGTTGAAGCTCCAGC